AAGTGATTTGATATATTGGCGAAACGATGCCGTGTTTTTGTGAAGCACTAAATACATGTTGAATTCAGCCAGTCAGGAGCACATTTTTAGGCTGCAGAGAAGGACGGTGTGTATCCGGAAGTACTTTTCAAGGTTGCACGACATTGGTTTGATTTATTCGTTGAGTCGGAAGCTGCGAGCAGCTCCCAGGCTGCATTTCAAAACTCATTTCCGCCTCAACAACCCTCATTTCCAGTTGCAATCCCTCAGTTAAATAATGATGTTTTGCAGTCGCAAACACATCAGGTAAGCATTCTGCCTCGTCCTCCCCTTTCACTTCTTTCTCTCTTCCCTACTCTTTGGGTTTCGTCACTGGTCAGAAAGTTGAAGTTGGAGCAAGGGGAAGCTTTCCTTGTTTCGCTGTGCCGGAGCTTCGCTGCTTGTATTGCTCACGGTATCCACATATTTGCTGATTTTAAAAGCGCGTTTTCTATATTAGTGGAAATTACCTGTTTGTTCACTTACCTCTGAAGCGACATGGCTTCGACCGACCTCTGGTTCTCAGACTGCGCAACTGTCTGTCCAGTGCAGGTTAAGCAGATTCGAAATTGAGATGCGGAGGGATTGTTACTTGCGTGGTTGCACTCTTGAATATCACTGAATAAAGCTATTATAGCGACATTTCAGGGCGACCTGCGTTCATAATGTTCATTTTCAGAATTTCTACCCAGCCACTAATGCTCAGGCTGTGCAGCTGCCTGTTCAGTGCAGGCCTCCACATGCACCTTATATGAATTTCTTGCCGCCCCCTCCTCACGCTCAGCAATTTGGTCCTCAGCTTCCACCACTCTATTCACCTCCGATACCATGTGCCCAACCACAAGCGGGAATTCAGTACTCAGCACGGTGAGTGTTGTAAAGATCACTTCCAGTAACGTTTTTTCGTAAATCCGGCAAATATTATTGGCAGAACTGTACTGACTGAACAAGCTGTGGTAGTGAATACCCATATTGGGACCGACGGATTCGCATTTCGGAGGTAGAAATTATCCAAATTCAATGCGATACCCTTCATTCAGGATGGTGGTTTCTCAGCAAGGCGGCATAATAATACTTTTTCAATTTTCATTATTAATCACAGCCCAAATTTCCGGTCTGTTGGCCCAAGTTCTTTCGCTTCAGTTCAGTTTGAAACCTTGGCCTGATTTGGTCATTTGCGAATGAGTTTAACTTCTCGCTGCTTTTCATCTCAGGGAAATCTGGCAAGCTTAAATCTCACAGAGTGCACCAGTTGTTTCACATGAAAGTAATTCACCTTTTGAAAAATGCTGTGTGTTGCAGGGGCCCATTGCCAATTGCCGCAATATCAATGGTACCTCCACCAAATCATGGTCCTTTAAGGCAGCAACCAAATACCATTTTCCCTCCACCAGTAGTTGGCCCAACACCGTCGAGAGCATTGCATATTAGCCACTCGGCGCCCAATCTAAGCCCGATGCAAGCTGTGCAAGCGTTCTCCAGGCGCAACCAGCCTTTGTGCATCTTGCAGCAAGATCAGCAGCAGCAGCAACAACAGCAGCCTGTTCAACTGGGCCCTGGAATAGCGCCGTATCAATTTCCTTCTGTCGCTGAGCACTGCGCACAGGTAAATGCATATTTAAAAACTTCACTTGAACCGTTTTTTTTCTTGAAATTTTCATTTTTTGTCCGAATTGCTTTTTCAAATGATATCACAACTGCTTCTTCAGCCATGAAATATCTTGTTGGATGAGTGAGTAAAAAAGAGACAAAAGGAGCCAGGATTTCGTACTGTAATTTGTGAGCGCAAACAGCAAGTGAAGAATGAACATTTGGGGTTGAACTGAGATATCATTACAACTGTTTAGCAAACTGAACTGTTTAACATAGTCCCAGTCATCATGGTCGCATGTGTCGTGTAGGAGGAAGGCTGGAAAAGTATTTCTTTCTTGTTGGTTGGCTTTCTGTTCTGCATCTACGGTATGTATTAAAATTGTTTGTGACGCGAAATTATGTGAATGATTTCAGCCGGCTGCATTGAACGTAAGCGCGCTGCGCCATCCTCCTCCTCCTGCTTCACTCATGTTGTGTCCACCAGTTACGTATTTTGGGCAGCCAGTTGCTTCCCAGGTATGTTACCTCTGTGTTTCGATAGCGAGTGTGTTTCTCTTACGTTTGAAAAAAAAAACATTGCCGTTTCCTCGGTGTATTTTCTATCCGAAAGTGTTACAGTTAGGGATGGCGTGACTCATACATCATCTCAGGTGGCCGTTATGTTGACTATGAAATGAACAATGCCGTTTGTGGTGCATTTTAGGCATGAAAGTTGTTACCCGTGCGAAAGTGTACTGTTTTAGCCTCCGCTGAATATTCCTTTGCCATCGCCGAGTGCATCCATTGTTGGAGATCCGCGAATGGCGAAACTTGTCCATGCTCATCGTGTTGGTATGATTGCCATGGAGACAATGGGTAATAGGAATTCGGACGACAACCGTAGTTATGCAAAGTTTTCTCAGGCAAGTTCCCCGGACAAAATAGTCCTAAAAGAAGCTCTTTTTAGCGCTTCCTGTGTACTGACGAGTACTGCAGCTTTGGGGATCTCAGAAGTTTTCGCAACCATTCTGTTGACTTTGTTAGAACGACTGATAAGTCGTTATGTCCCTACAAAATCCACTTCCTTCGCCTGAACTGAAGATGAGGACTTCCTTCCTGTTCCAGTAAGGGTCATGTACTCTAGTTAAATTCTGCAGAGACATGGCAAAGTGTAACTACTGGAATACCGGATTCAGGTAACAAGAGAGGAAGACTATAGCGAGATGCACTGTTGTTAACAAGACGGTGGCCTGACTGGTGACTGTAAGCAGTTCCATTAATTTGAATGTTTCAGAATCCAGCATATGCGGAAGATGTACGTTGGCTGTTCACAGTGGCCACACGACTGGGAGTTGTTTTCACGCTGAGCTTCTGTGAAGTGGCAGCTCGATCAGTTGCTTCACCATTTGTTCTTTTTTCACTGGCAGTTGAATCGACAAAGGTACAGCTACACGCGATTTAACTGTTCATCGAGCAAAGCGCACCGTGCTGAAAGAACAAAGTGACCTATCCAGCAAGCTTACTGCTTCTTTTCAGATTTTTCACTGGCAGGTGCCGCCCCTCAACTATCATTCACAAGCGATGCTCCATCCAGTTCGTACCCAGCTTGCCGCCGGCGCTCCAAATGTAAACGTTCTTCATATTCAAAAATGAGCAGCTTCCCCCTCCCTCCCCGTGAACCAGAAAACTAAAGGCACACACTGCAACTGTTTGCAGAAAGACTGGGGCTGTTAATGCTGTCACTGTTCGTGAATTCATTAGCATTAGCCTAGACAGCAGCGTGCCGTAACCTGTTGCGTGAACACCAACCGATTGTCATAGGTGTTCCAGGATGGACAGTTTTATGCGCCAGTAAGTACACAGAATGTTTGATTTCACAACTGTTTGGTGGTAGTAAACTCTCCGTAATAAGCTGATTTTAGAATTATTGTAGCATGCAAATAATGTTAAGAACTTAGGGTAGGCGTGGAGCGAACTATGTATGGATGGATGTAGAAATATAGTTAGTGTGGAAAAATTAAGTACGAATGAGTTAAGACGTTTCGGTCCATTAAGTCATATACGTCTTGGCTCAATACCACGGCTGGACCTGCGTCAGTATGAATTTGAAAAATTTAAAATCAAAAACCAGGGCAAAGCAGGAATTGTTAGCCGATTTTGAGCTCTGATATACAAGTCAGTCGCGTTGAAAGTTTGAATTTGCAGCTTTTTTCACTCTTAAGTTACAGTACTTGCAGCAGTCAAGCTTAAAATAGATTCCCTTTTTAATCTAATTCTAAGAAAATCCAAAAAGGTCATTACGAGCTTAAAAGCCAAAGCAGACGGGCTTCTGAGTGGTCAAGTACGTGCATGATTAGAGAATATCTTCCAGAAATTTGTTTCTTTTAAAGCTCAGTTATCCAACACACACAAAGATATGTTTTTCCTTAATACAAATCTTTTTTATGCAGGTCCGGACCATACTGATGCAGCATGGATTTGCCCCACCAACAGCCGATTTAATGCAGCACTGTATTGAAATGTTTTATGCAGCAGCCAGCTCGAAACTCAGCCATCCTCGATTTGTTCCCTCCGACGTTGAGGAGGTAATGCGTTTTTAATTTAGTCGAAGGACG